GGTTTAGGGATGGTTCTTCAGTCTTTAGAACCTTCTTGAGATCTTCCCTAACTCATTTTTTCAGGTTGAAGGCTAACTTTGTGAGTGATATCTTCAAAAGCGCATAATCCCTGAAATCACGTTATATAGTGGATTTGCTGGTTCACTAGTTTTAGATGCTTAAAAATTTGTAACTTCTGACCGGAAAATCATCTTTGAGTAGCTCTTGGAGAATTTGTACCATCTTGGTATTTTCTTCAATTTTCGTGTTTGGCTCGAAAGCCATTTCAGTGAGGAAGATCCCCATATTTGCAAATACTCTAAGACTGGTACCCTGAAATAGTGTGTTGATCCATTGTTTATCGGATGTTCAAAAATTCATAACTTTCACCCGGTTAGACGTTTTTGATTGGTTCTTTGGGAGTAAAATTAGTTTGAATATTATCCTCAATTCGTATGTTCAGGTCAGAAGATAATCCTTTGAAGAAGATATCTGAAAGTGTGAATTACCTGAGAAAATTACACCCCAAAATGGTTTTCTACCAGACTGTTTTCTGATATTGCAAAATTAATAACTTTCTCAATTTTTATCGGTTCATGATGATTCTCAGAGCGTGAGCTCCCAAATTTTGTTAGCTATAACTTTTCTTCAGGTTCCGGGTTCAGATTATGCTTTGAAGGCTTCGGTTTTTGGCTCGCTTCTTAAAGTGCGCATGAAAATAAGCTGAAATTTCAATGCAGCCAAAAAAAGTCCATTGTTTCTCGCAATTCAAAAAATCATAACTCTCTCAATTTGTATCGTATCAGAGTGATTCTTTTGGCACGACGTCACAATTTTCGTCATTGACAATTTTGTTTCAGGTTTTGCATCAGGATTCTGCATCCAAAGTCATGAGCTTGTGGTTTGTTTGTCGAACAATACACAAAATAAGCTGGAAATATATGCACGATGAATTTTAACACTGAGTTCTCGCCATTCGAAACATCCTAACACACTCAATTTTTATCATATCGAGGCGATTCTTTCGGCATAACATCATAAATTTCGTCATCGACGATTTTGTTTCAGGTTTCGTGTAAGGATTATGCACCGAATGTCACGAGTTTTGGTTTGTTCTCGAGCCGTGCACCGGAATAAGTCGAAAATTCTGCATTTAGTCAAAATAACACTTGTCAAACAAGACATAGGGGCTTTCCTATACATTCTTGAAGCTCAAATTTAAATTTACTTTTCCCTCATTCTACAAAAATCACATTGAAAACTCTCAAAGTTCTCTCTATTCTCTTAAGCAAGAACACAAGAACAAAAGGAAGAAGTTCTCCTCCCTCCTCCTCCCAATTTTCCGACTGGCCACCACCATCGCCGACCTCCCAACTGCCAAACTCTTTTCTCCTGACCGCCCTCGTCCAGCCGCTGCCCTTCCTGATCGGCATACTCCCTCTCATTTACTTCCTCAGCTCGGATTCCCTCTGTCTCCGGTCAGTTTTCGATGCAACTCCCTCTGATATTCTCCTAGTCAGCCGCGCGCTACCGGTACTCTTCTTCCGTTCAATTTTATGGATCTTCCTCTTTGCATCTTTCATTAATCTCTTGATTTAAGTGCTTTTGGAATTAAGTAATTTTGTGAGGTAAGTGCTTATTTGATTTAAATGTGAATTGAACCTTGATTTTATGGAACTAAGTGATTATTGGGAGTGTTGATCATGAATAATCTTGGAATTGGTTTGTTTTTGTGTTCAAATTATTTGAATCTTGAATTTCGACGCGTAGATTTGTTAATTGTTGAATTTAATTGAATTTTGTGTTTATACATGAAGTGTGTATTTACATGAATTAAACATTGATGTTGGTGATGTTGCGAATCATCGAATTCGATAAATTGATTGAATTATTGTATAATGTTTGATTCGATGCTTGGAAATGGTGATACTGATACCAGTTGGATGAATGATATTTGTTTGTGAATTTCGGTAGAGCTATCATGTCTCTATACATGGACTTTTTACATTAAAACAATGATTTCAAACCGATTTTTATCAAATATCGACACTTGATATAGTGTTGTCCGAAATTCAATACTGCCATAAACTTTTACTTAATCGTTGCCTCTTGTACAATTGGTTTTCACTTGATATTTGCTTGACATTTGTGATGGTTTCGATTGATTTTAAACCGATATTTTGAATAATCTCATGAACAAAAAGCATGTTGTCCAGAATTTATTTTCACATGTATCTTGTGTTTTAATTCTAATGTGATGTATGCTTGGCCATAATCAAACATTAATTGGACATTGATGATGAGTTTTGTTGGTTCCGATGCAATTTTCCGATTAATTTCATGTTTAGACTTAGTGCTTCCCGGATTTGTAAGTAAGTCTTAAAGCATGTTTTCATTGTTGGTTGGCACACAAGTGAACTTGCTTTGGTTCATACTTGGCATGTGTGTGAAGATTGGTAGTTTTTAAACTGACTTTTTGTGCACTTCACGTAGTGAAACAATGTTGTCCGGATATGTTGAATGCATGTACATTGTGATTCGATTATGAATTGATACATACTTGATTGTATTTGAGCATTTGTTAGGCATCTATGATGAATCTTCTTAGTTTCAACTTGATTTTTTGAGCCATTGCATGTATGGATTTGGTGCTGCCCGATTTTCTACTTCCATGTTCTGATACTTGTTCGGATGTCATTTCTTTGCATTTTGATGTTATTTTGAGTTACGATATGATTGCTTGACTTTGTTTATGCTTTCTTGTTATCACTAACTCTTCTTGTGGACTTGTGCAAGTTTCGGAAAGGCGATTTCTCGCACCATGCGATGTGCGGATTGATTGTGCTTGTATAGTTTTGTATGTTGTGAAGGATGCACGTGATCTTGGATATGCGTGTGATTACTTTCACATGATGCTTACCATCATTGTGTTTGATTTCAGACTATGTGCTTTATTGGTGAAGCTTGCACGCAGTTTTTCGGGTTTCTTTGCTTTGCTTGATTGCTACGAACTCTTGTTCGTTTGGTATTGTTCTGATTCTGGTTTTTAATTCCACATTGTATTTTCTTTTTCTTACCATGAGAAGTAGGAACAAAGATGCATGACTGGGAGTCCCTACTTTAGGTGGGCAAATCTGTTTTAAAGACCTTTAGAAGGCATTTTTGTGTGTGCAATTTCTTGTTGTTTATGTGCAAAAGACCTCAACAAAGAAAAATCTCATTTCCCTCCCATTTCCCGTTTACTTTGTGCTTGCTATAGAATTAATAAGTGGAACAAATTCCCCGTAATCGACCCCCACACTTTCTAGTCCGTGTCTTTCTTAGCTTGCGTTATACATTGATGCTTTGAATCGTGCTTATTCTTGTCCATTGAGTCAAATAAAGTGGAAGAAAGGGTTTGTAACCAACCTCCACATTTTGTTATTCGTTTCGATGGTTCTAACTCAAGTTTCTTTAAACATTGACGCTCCGAGTTGTTACTCGATGTCGGTTCTTTATAAAATCAAGTGGAAAAAGTTCCTTACTCCCACTTTAAAATCCATTGGATTCTTTGTTTGTTGCTAGCTCTCACTTGATCTTTGTTTTGGTTTTTGTTTCAACTTTGTTCGATTCCACTTGTGTTTCTGCCTTTATTTAAACCATTGTATGCTCCCTTAGGATTGCTCGACTCATCTTTAATTTTAGGTAGACATTAGGATTTTAAACCATGCATGCTAACTTAGGTAGTGTTTCCCTTTTAAACTCAACTATAGGATCAATTGTTGTATGATAACAATAGGGATAGAGATAGATAGTTTACCTTAGATGTTTTTCTTTCCCTTTTGCATGATTAAGACTAAAAATATTTTTTCTTGGAAAATTCTAAAACATCTAATAATTGAAGATGTGAATCGTATGCAGTTGAGTCTTGTGGGGATAGAGAGAATCGGTTTAGACTGAGCCTCTCTCTATTCTTACGTTCAGACTTTATTACGGTTCCAATAACAAACCATTTTGAAATTAAGCAGAGAAGTAGCGTGCGTCCCTCTAGTGGTATGCATTCGCTATTATCCCACAAAAATACTCAACCAATTAAAACTCTTTCGCCTCCGGGCCTTTCTTCGAAACTCTCAAAAGGATATGTTAATTCTACTATGTGCAATACAACGCATAAATCCCCAAAGGTCGGGTGGCAATATGTCTACTTGCTAGAGAATGAATGTAGAATTATCTTCCTTCGGTCACTTTTCTTTTAAAAATACCTCTTCAGGTAGAACATGTTAATTCCTTCCTATGCCAACGTGTGAGTCTCCAAATCTCAAGTTACGGTAGAAAGAGAAATTAATATTGTTCATAAAAATACACAAAAAATGGAAACTTTTGAGCCAAACTACAACGCTCTAATTCGTTAAAGGGATACGTAGGCATTTGGTCGCGGGGCCTAGGTGAGCAAAACTTTGTAAATCTTACTTACTTCTTTTCCCCGTATTTTCTTTTGCATGCATTTTTCCTTTAGCTCGCAAACTTTAGATTAGAACATACTATTTGATTAGAACAACAAGAGTGGATCTCATGGAGTACCATGAACGTGAGGGGTGCTCATACCTTCCCCTTGCTTAATCGACTCCCTTACCTGTATATCTCGGTCGCAAGACCTTGATTTCACCCTACTCACATTTAGTCGATGTTTACATATCCCTTCCTGTGGGATAAAATAATATTCAATGGCGACTTCATTGATTTTCTCTCGATGATTTTCAGTCGGTTGTTTCAGACACGTCCCTCTAAGATTTCAAGAGCACCATGGGTTTCCTCTAGAGACCTCTTCAATCCCTCCACTCCACATCTTCCTATTAGATACGCACTTGGGAAGCCACCCCTTCGGCGAGCACCTTCGTGTCATCCCTCCCTATCTTAGTCTACCTCAGTGTTGCAGTACCTTCCCAAGTATGCTTGTTTAGGTTGATCACCTCAGACTGCATTCTTCCAAAGGTATCAAAACGTTTTTTCCTCAATGCTCTTCCCACCAAAAATCACCTCATCAATCTGACCTCCAATAAAGTTGGCAGTTGGGTAAGGACATGGCGGTAAGTGCCTGATAATCACTTGGGGAATTCCTAGGGAAGGAGAACAGTTGATCAGTGAAAGCAATGGCATCAAAATCAAGATTACTCTGTAAAGGAAGTCCAGGAGAAGGATGAGTTCCCACTAGCCTCTTCACACCTGGAATTAGCCCCTGATTCCCTTCCAGACTGTAGAAATCCCCCTTCGTCCTTGGGGCCTCGGAGGGATAGATCTTTTCCGCCTGAGAGGTTTCACCTTGTGACATTGTTTGAGCATCAGAGGTACTGCAAGAGATAGACCGCATCACTCACTGCTTAATAATCTGCATCTTCACTAGGCACTCCCTTTTTTCGTCAAGAGACACCACCATTCTCTCAGTTGCATATGATAAAATGATAAAATATATCGGCATAAATAAAGTGCTATTAGAAATTGTAAGTTCTCTATTTTTAGGATTGGCATTAATTTTTGTAAATCCAATATAGAAACAATATGTTAGATAGGATGTATTAACTTGCTAACAGGAAAAGGTTGAGCAAGAAGTTCTATCTTATGTTAGGACATGTTGAGTTGAAGTGTTTCAACGTCTGGAATAACATGTCAGGTAAGATGTCCTATGAAGGAGCATACGACATCGCGCTTGAGCTGAAGTGGACAGTTAGATTCCGTTATGATTTAACTATTGCAGAATATTTTAGGAATATTATGCAATATTATATGGCGTTGATTTAAAGGTCAAGAAGAATCAAGTCAAAATATTGAAGATTATGCGGTTTCTAAATATGGATATATTTTAGGAAACTAATGATTGAAGATCTTGTTTGTAGCAGAAGTTACTGTTGGTTGTTACAACTAATATGATGTATATTGAAGACCAAAATTCAGTTGGGTATAGGTTATAAATATAAGTGTTTGTAACCTAGGAAATATACAGGTTCAATATGTAGAAGTCTAGGGCTTTGTCTTTTTGCCACTCTCTAGGAGAGTTGGTGTAAGTGAACCACCCGGGCTGTGATATGGTCATTGTGTTCTCACTCAGAAACCTGTAGGTAATGAGTTGATTATTGTTCTTGGAGGAAGCTATGAAGAAATTCCAAGTTGTGGTCTTAGCCAAGAGTCTTGGCTAGAGATTTTCATGGAAGTGTGTCTTCCTGTTTGTTCAAAACTATTTTGATCTAATCGATGTCTGTGATTGAAGAGGGATTGAGGAGGGCCTCATATCTAGGTGAGTCTTAGATAGAAATCTATCAAGGATAGGGATTAAGTGATTAGGTTGTAAACTAGAGGTTTACCGTAGGGTCTATAAATTGATACTATTTGAGTTGATTTTCCCTGGCTTGGTATGCCCCCAGAGTAGGAAGGTTGTTCCGAACTGGGTTAACAATTTTGTGTGTTGTTTATTGCTTTTCAGTACTGCTTTAACTGTTATATATCTTTCCTGTTTGTTTATGTTGGATCACATGTCCCAACATGTCATAGGACATATGAGTTCTGTCATACCAGAATTTCAAAAGTATTTGCCCTCACCTAAGTATTGCTCAACTCTGTCGTCGTCTTCCATATCCCAAATAATAAGGGTATTGCACTCCAGGGGGTGAAAGCACTCCAAAACCTGAATTACCTCACGATCCAAGGGAGGAAGGACACATAAATCCACCCCCATTGTGAACTTAGGATCTAGGGTCCAAGAAAATGGGAACAGGGGCTCTCCTCATGTTCCTACCAACACTAGAGATGCATTGTCGACCCCCTTATGCGAGCAAACTTGTCCTTCTAGTCATTGTAAGGGTTGGAAAAGGGTTTTAGAAAACACACCCTTGAAAAAAGGCACAAAGTCACCTAACAACTGCTAGGAAGAAAATCCTTTACAAACAAGTATAAGAGTACCCTAATGGTGGGGGACACCCGTAGATGACAACAGACTATCTTAAAGGCCCTGTGAATGCCCCCAAACATTTGGTGTAACTTGAGAAGAGGCCACATCAACATCTATCAAAAACTCCACTTTAAAGGAGGTAAAAGTAACCATAACCTCAAGTCATAAATAATAGGAAGGTCGAGGTAGAATTAGAGAGCGACCGGATCCCCAGAGGTGTCCTCATATTCTCTCTCATCCCTTGAACAGTTCTCAATGAGCACATCTCTCTCTCTCTCTCTCTCTCTCTCTCTCTCTCTCTCTCTCTCTCTCTCTCTCTCTCTCCCGTATTGGAAAAAACTAATACCATGGAAAAACTTGTTGATTATATATGCATTAGAGTACAGGTAGGTTATGTCTCGCACATGGATAAAACGTCACTTTTCTCGCCATCATGAAAGAAAGTAACAGTTTGAAGAAGTGAAAATATATAGGAAATCCAAGGGAATAAGCACCACATTCACCCAATAGACTGGCTCTAGGAGCGAGAAAGTCTCCACCCAATAAAATTCAATGGAGCTGCCCATGTGGTCCGTCCAACATAGAAGTTAAAGAAAATAAATTCCTTGTTAACTCGAAAATATAGTCAGTAAATAACCTCCTTAATAATGAGGTAGAGTTAAGACCACATATAGGGTCCATAAACCCTATCCTTAGGGAATCCCAATAAATATATTATCCCTCTAGGGGATAAGGAATCTCTCAATTAATACACACTTACTACAATTCAACATTACTCAGAGAACACCCACTCCGAGTAACCCTAACAACACCATAACAACCGCCCTCCTACAACCTAGTAGAGCCTATGACCTCGTGTGAGTTGGTCTCTTAAACACTCTAAAAAATCATTGTACGTCACGTGGCTACTAGTTTCCGTGAGCTAGCCATCACCCTCAAACATGTAATATACTTATAGGGCCTCTGAGTCTCCATGTCCTTGCAGAAGGAACACACAGAGACCTATACCTTTTTGGACTATATATATATATATATATATATATATATATATATATATATATATATATATATATATATATATATATATATATATATATATATATATATATATATATATATATATATATATATCACTACAACAAATAACGCTTTTCATGACGAAGCTTTCAGAACGAATGAAACAAAACTGCGGGTACATGTGAACGAAGTGCTTTGTTTTATTTAATAAATAAATAAATAAATCTTATTACCTCAGCTTTTAATAAAACTGACATAATTAAATACTCAGGGTTTGAGGTTTAATTCCTAGGTACTGCTATTTAGTGCTTTATATGGAACCAAAAAGGTGCCATTATATTTTAAAGATTTTATGTTGGATATTTTACCTCGGTTGTTTCCAAAACCGAGATAAAAACTCCCTAACTTTTTATTACTTTGGCAAAAAAAAGGTGCCTCTTTTTAATGTATTTTACTATATTAATCGGTTTAAAATGAGAGTAGCCACCCTTAATTTTCATCTTTAGGAAGGGGATATAAAGGATAACCCGAATTTGGTCAGAGGTTCTAAATTGTTGGACTCGTTCTTAGACAAAGGGAAGGTATTAGGCACCCCGTCATCTACCTTGTTCACAAGGATACTAGGGTTTATAATTACGGCTTAGAAAATAGGGTTTTAATTTTAATTAGGGGAATTCGACACGATTTTAGTCGTATGCCTACGTATCCTCTTATGAGGAATCAGAGTCCCAATTCGTAGTTCGCAGTTGGTTGGTGTTTTTTTATAGATTACGAAGATATTTCAAACTCTACTTGAACCAAGTCTGGGTATGTGAATAGCGGAGTTGTTAGACGAGTTTCGCAGTCGATTAAAAATATTATCATAATCCTTTTTGAAACTAATCTTGAATTTATTAAGTTAGTAAGAAAATTTGGTTTTTGATGTTGGTTATATTTTTTTTAAATATATTAAATAATATTACAAAAATGATTTTAATGCATGATAAAAAGGATTTTATGCAATTAAAAAAAGAAAGATGATTCGTAAAAATTGAATTTTATAATAATAATAATAAAATAAATTTTTTAGAATTTGTACAAATATATTGAATATAAAAATATTAATTGTAATATAAAAATAAATAAAATATAAAAATAAAAAATGAAATATAAAAATGAAATAAAACGCGGGGGGGTGTATTCTGTTTGGGCTGAGTAAAATCAGGGGGTGCTGAAAGTAGGGCCCTGGATCCAAGGCCCAAACGCATGAGGTGTAAGTTTGTACTGCGTAGCAAATCTGGGGGTGTAAACATAAGGTCCCAAGTCCAGATGTTGGACTTGGCCCACTAGCGCGAGGGGGTATTTTTCAGAGTTAACAAAATAAAAACCACAGATGGGGGATGAGTTTATGAATGGGCCTTGGCCCAAAAATGACAAATGTTTAAGAGGAGGTCCATACCTCGTACATGAGGGTACATGGTATTATAGTGAGCACACATTTTAGAGAGTTTGATGGAGATCCAAAGGTTGTGATGGGAAGCGCATGGCAGAGATCATGGAAGCATAGTCACGAGATCCACAAGGGTTTTGTAAAGCTCAGGCCCAACGTTGGGCCTCATTTTCCCCTTTTCTCTCTCTCTCTCTCTCTATCTTCTCTCTCTCTCTCTCTCTCTCTCTCTCTCTCTCTCTCTCTCTCTCTCTCTCTCTCTCTCTCTCTCTCTCTCTCTCTCTCTCTCTCTCTCTCTCTCTCTCTCTCTCTCTCTCTCTCTCTCTCTCTCTCTCTCTCTCTCTCTCTCTCTCTCTCTCTCTCTCTCTCTCTCTCTCTCTCTCTCTCTACTCCCAAACAAATGAAACCTTTTATATTTCTAGAGAGAGACTCTGACCTCTCTCTAGAAATCCATTGTGCCGGAAATTGCTCATCCAGAGTGCCACCGGCCAGAAATCACTTTCGCTGGCGGCTGCATCTGGGCACCAGCGCCTCTATTCAAACATTCATCCCCAACCACCGTGAAAAACCCAAAAACCTATAACCATAATAAGAACCCTAATAATGTATGACCTAACCCCAAGAACCCTAATCAACCATAACCAAGAAACCCCAACCTGATGAACCCTAACCCTAGGTTAGAACCATAACCCTAAAAACCCAAATTTTCTAAAAACGCAACAATTACACATCAATCATACAAGAAGTCAACCATTACGACAATAATTGACAACCCTAATCTAAGTGTTTTAGATTATCTTTCCTGCAGTGAAACTGGTCGTATAATTTCCCTCCCCTGATTTCTCCTTTGTCTCCTATTCTGATCTCCTATCTTTCTGCTTGCAGGTACGTGGTGGAGGCGACGGCTTAGAGGACAGATCTTAGGGTTTCAAAAATTGAAACCCTAGATCTCAAGCAAGAGCGGTATCGTCACAGGCATAGAATT